TCACATGTGTTGAAGACAAAATATCCGTCTATTAATTAAGTTCGTTCTGTTCTACTTTACGACTGCGAAACGAGGCCATTAAGAGTATAAGATACTCGTTGGTTACTTGTATTTGACCACAGATGTTTTAGAACTATTGCTCGCATATATTGGGATCACCGGGTAAGTAATAGTGAGGTTAGACGCCATGGTAGCATAAAAAGATGATAAATCAGTTGATGAGGTTGTGATTCTTCACTGATTGAGATGGTCGGGCCACGTGTTACGTATGCCTGAACACCGATTACCCCGACACGCAATGCTGACTAGTGTTGGAAACAGATGGAAGAAAGTTAGGGGCGGACTTAAAGTCATGTTGGTTGATACAGACCACTTGGTTGGGGTCCGTGTGACTATCATAACCAATGGTTGGAGACTCTTGGTGACATGGCTAAGAATCGATCACAATGATGTAGGTGTACACACTCTTTGTCTTACCTTAAACTATGAGATTACAATTATTTTATATCTTTCTTTCTACGAACTAATTCTTTCTTTCTGTACTATATCCTTATACACAATCTCTCTCGTATATATATTACTACCATAGAAGTAACTACTTCTATGAATTTGGTGTTCATCTAGTTGTGCTAGTGAGGTATGGCAACGTAGACCGACACATATATGTGCCTAATCCTAAGTTGTAGCTGATTGACTGTCTAAGATGAATTAAAAATAATTGAATCATCACTACGATAGTGTAATGAGAGGACACAACCGATCAGAAAATCTTTATACGTAAATGTATTCTTGTAATAAATATTTCGAACAATATGATCATACATTTTTATATGATTTTGTATAAAAACGAAGAATGGTCACTACGGGACATGAATGTTCTGGGTAAGATACCTGATCAGGTCACGTGTGTATGTCATTGAAGCTCCAAACTACAACGAAACACGTGTCGACTTTTGCTTAGTTTTATAGCTAATACTATTCCTTCATGAAAAGTACTTTCAAGATTAACGATCGAAGAGAAAAAAATCAATAAATGGTGAGTATTAGGAATACAAGATAGGGAATGCAGAATATGAAAGGAATGAATGTTTAACACATCACTCTTGAAATTAAAATTTGCTTAAGGATTGTCAGGGCATGTTCAAGGTGCGAACATTGTTTTTTGAGCAAAAAAGGTTTTATATAAACATTTAGACGGTGTTTTAATTTCAATTATACGTTTACTTATGCATAAGCCTAGTTGTCATTCTCCATTGATCATAAGAGACCATCATTTCAACTGAATCAGAAGTTAATCCAGTATATGTTCTACTACGCTTAACTAAAGAGCTCGTTTACTCCATTTCGATGCATCTATCTGTAGGCTTGTGAACTGGATATTATTACTTAGTAATGAGTAATAAAAGACTTGACCGCATTGTGTGTCTTCTTCATATCTGTTTTTATCTTCCTTTCAAAGAGTATACTACTTGACTTTCCATAATATGGTAAAGTTTACACGTGTTTTCAGGACGAAATAATGATGAAGTACACTTGCTTCTAACTGTTTAAACAAAAGGTACCGTTCTGTATCCAAGCGGTAAGTCACGGAGCATATGATTTATAAAGAAAAGAATGAAATTGATAAGTTCTAACTTGTACATGAAAATTGACAAAATAAAAATAAATTACAAAACAATAATGAATATCCGCAATCTTTTATCATATTTCAATTTGTTCATTGGTAGGTAAGAATCATGCAGATCAATTATTGACTGACGAATTAAACCGAAAAGTTGTGTCAAATTTTGGAAGATGCACCAAAGACTGTCATCAAAATTGCCAACCTGAAGTGGTGTTCACCAGAATTGTTCAGTCTCCACTTTTGTTATTTTGTAATAAATTACTTCCTAGAAATACTGATTTCGTCCTCAGGCTTTTCAAGCGTTGATCTTCTACCAGGAAGCTCATTAGGACACAGAGTTCCCAAATGCCCTGGGACGGCCAAGAGTGGGGAGAATCCGCCCACCTTCTCGAAATGCTCTCACATGGACACGCGTATAAAGCCTTTGCCGAAGAAGTCCTACTCATTGCTTTCTCGTAGCGGGGGTTTTTCACGGAATTCAGAGGACGAAAAGCGAATGTCTGGCGCTTTAATCGGGTTGATGAACATGGGAAGTCCAACTAGGGGAGTTGGAAAACCCTCACTCCAAACCAATAGTGCACATGGGCTCCAGTATCCTGAGGGAAAAATAGCTTAGGAACCAATCGTTGGTCACCGGCTACCATGGGACTGCATCTCCTTACGATGCTCCACTTTCTTGTGTATCAGACCTTTAGGTCGAAGGCTCCGGATGTGGCCCCCTAAGAAAACCTCCTGCTTCGGTCTGGGCACCCGGTCAGTATCACTGACCTCATGCAAATCAAATGAGATTTGTGTGGCGCATATGTATTTGCTGCCTCCTTGTACCAATATGTGTACAAATAATAAAATATAATAATACAAAGTCCTATTGAGTGGAGCTTTAGGCAACAATGAAATAATATTTGGGATGTAATTATCTGCCTCTTAGTGCTAAATATTGCTTTAGAAACGGTCTGTGTCAAAGCCTGAACCTATCATACGGAACGGAGTAGTTGATTATTTCACTTACTTTGGAAGTCTAGTCAGCTTAGTGGGTTGATGAGATCATGTCACGAATTTAGAACGTTTGCAACCAAAATTACTTAACGTAGGGAAGATATCGTCTACCAACCAAAGGACAAGTGTATTATGCAAGTTTGCTCAGTTCTACTTTATTTGTGGAACGTCTTTTAGAGAAAGAAGATAGTCGGTGAAACTATAATTTATGGACGACCTTTAAGCAACGCCGAAATCCAAGACCTGTTATCTTAAATGTGATTGGTTCGTCCATAAAGTATAGTCTCGCCAGATAGTCGTAATTTACTGGGATTTGATCATAGGTGTCTGCGAAATTTGTTCGCTGGACGTCCGAGTGGGCAGTGTTGAGATAAAGCATCGAGTACCAGGGAATCATTGCAGAAGGCTTACAAATCTTCACCGACTGAAGTTCTTCGAATAATGTTACCTGTGTCTAACCACTGTCCCACTCGAGGGCGATATTCGCTAATGGAATATGGTGGAAACCATCCAGTGGCCTGCAAACCAAAACGTGGCACCAGTTCACGAAGTCGTTGACCGTTGGTAGATCAAAACCACCTGATCTAAGTCCGCATAATAACTGTAACCAGCAGTTGGGTGATTTAAAATCGTTCGTACTAACCCATATCCATTCCTTATTTATATTCCTCTCGATTGTGAATCTCAATATTTCTTCATACATACCTTCTCATTCAGTCCGTTCAAACTATACTCTCAGTTTAATCTTATTTTGGTCTCTTGCAATTAATTTAGTTGTAATATGGTATGGAAAATTGGACTAACGTACCAAATAGGCATGGTATTGATTACCGTTCAAAGTGAAAAAATTCTTACAAAAGACCAGACATATCTCGGAAAGTTTTTTTGCCTAAATGTTATAGAAACACTATAGTAACAAGTGATTCTTTATGACTGACTAACATAAGAAATACTCCAAGATATTTCCGAACGTGTGATCGCATTAATCAAACTTTTAAAATAACTAAGGGTTCAATAGGAAATAATGGTCTCTTTTAATCAATCAGAAATTCATTAATTAAAACGCTCTGGCACTATTAGTACTGGGAACAATCTTCTGCTATGAATTACAGTTCAGTGTCAAGACTTCTTCAAGGTAATTAACAGCCTCCAGAAGGATACATGTTTACACGGCAAATCGGTTATATGTGCATTTTAGTGAGAAACAAACCTCTTAAATACTTCAGACCGAGTATTGAGCAATAAAAGCTGATCACTAATACACATTTAACATACTGGATAAGCGATCTGAAGTACCAACGATCCATAAGTGTGTTTTAAATAACACTTTGGTTCGTTATTTGCGTTTCTTTTTTTTATATCAATTCACCGGTTGAATTGAGCTGATAACTTGATCTCAAATGCAAATATTACTTGGACATATCACATAATTTGCGTTGTCTATCGATTAGTATTGTTTACTATTAAAAAAGCCTCCCTACGTCACGGCACTATACACAAACTCAATAATATTGATAGACAAAATAAGAATCGCAAGTGACCTACAAATTAGAGTATAGGCCTTTGAGGTACAATATTTATGTAAGGGTTTGAAGAACCTGTAATAATGCAATGGGTTTCATCACTGTTCAGAATGGAAAAATAGATATATTAAACTACTATCTAAATGAACAAAGAAGTCATATCCATACATTAAGTCATTAGACAATATTGAAAGTAATCAGTCGTCACGAAATCCAGCAGTCTATTAATCAGCTGGTTTTAGTAGATTTCTTAAAATACTCAAATAAATATCATAGAACGGATAACTCAAACCTCGTAGTAACTATGTCGCTATAATCGAAATGAAACAATTAACTACTGATAAGTAATCAGCTAGACAATTGTAGCACAAGACTACCTAGAGAACGAGCTAAATTATAAAAGAAACAATAAGAGTTGCATATTTCTGAAGTTCATAGTGTTGGCGCATCAGATATGTGAATATACTAAGATCGCCTACTATTATATTCCTGTATAATGAGTTCATACAAAAGCCTAGTAGGTACAATGATCTCAGACGCAAATAGTTCGCTATGGACTACTATTAGCTATACTTAACAGTATTTTATGGTCTACACTGACCATGTTTAGAACTTTGCAACATGTTCCAGATCAAAGAAGTTACGTTCAACTGATCTGCACTTGTGATCAGTACGAATATTAAAAAACTAACTATCCAGACATCAAATAATTGGCCAAAAGCCTTTATTTATAATGGTTAGACGAATAAATACTTGATCACTTAATTTAAGTTTCATTCAATAAGTCGTTCTCCCATTGAGTAGTTCTTACAGTCTAGTGACGCGGTTCCTAATTGCAAAGTTGAGTAAGACTATGACTAGTCTCTAAAGGATCACCAATATCATAGAAAACACACGTTATATCGACAATCAGGAACGAAAAGACCAGGATCTGTAGTTTTGACTGCCCAATCATCATAATTTTTGTTCAGATTAAAGGCTTAGTTCATTAAAATCCGGTCAACACTGACAAGCGGAAAAAAATTTGTAAGTTTACTACGACGATAGCTACTTGCCACTTTGTTTATTAGTGAGGCTTATTGCAACTGGTAAAGGTTTTGAGTTAGACTTCAGTGAAACTACTCGGTTTCTTAAACTACAGGTGGTCTTAAGTGACGTTATATGTACGAAAGACCTGTGAAAGATTGCGTTTGAATGATCTTGACAATCTAGGATCAAGATCGCAGAGCCCAAAGTGAAAATGTTCAAGGTTGATCACACTTGTGTAGCTTTGAAACCTTACCTGTACCAATGGAAATATGTATTATTTAGGGTTGATCTTTCCTAACACCTTCCTGTTGAGGGAGGACAGCAACGCTAAAGACTTCTTATCTGAGGGAAACATCTTACTGCCATCTTAACCCCTGTATAGTCAGCAGTACGGTTTTGCTATCAGTTTTCAAATTACTACTTTCGCGTTTACCACTCTCTAACCAACTGGCCAATATGATACCACTTAAAGGAATAAGTTACAGAAAATATAACTCGATTGGCTAATTAAAACAATCACGAAGATGGAGATGAATTCAAATCCCCAAAACTTGAATGATTAAAAGTGGTTTTCCTTTAATACTTACCTCATCCTAGATACATTGATCTATCCATAACCCATTTCAATTTAGAAAAATAAAGACTTTACATAAATTACACTAATTATGTGTGAATGCAATAGAAATTATGTACATGGCAAAAAAAAATAAAAATAATTCATTAAAATTCATATAAGTAGTAAGTTGTACAACTAGTTACGATTACCACTACTAATACTACTACTACTGCTGCTACTATTACTACTACTAGTAATACCAATGCTATTAACAACAGTAAACATTCTTGTGGAAAAGTACACACACACACACAAAAAAAAATTACAATTATATAATATACATATGTATGTACGATAAACAAAAAGAAACCCCTCCTCGTGTACAACATATCCACCTACACCTGTCACTTTTAAAACAGATCTGAGAACAAAAGGAATATGAGAAATGCAAACAGCCAAGATATATGGAATAGATATATAAAGACATATATATACTAACATAAAAGGAAAATATACGAGTGAAATACATCGATGCATTACATATGTAATATTAATGATGAGAAAAGAAAAAAATAGTTCCTTTACTGGATTCAAAAAAGATTCAAGTCTTTTTCTATTTGATTTCAATTATAAAAAAAAAATTAAACTGAAAAATAGTCTAAGGTTATTGTTTTCTTTTTGTGATACATAAAAAAAAAACAAGGAGAAGAAAATTAAAAGATTGGAGATTTCATGATTTTTGTTATGATCAGAGAAAATAAAGAGAATAGATTGTTCTCAAACAACATGGCATTCAATGGAAACACATACATACTAACTGATTTGAACTCTATCTAATTAGATTCGAATCAAATTATTTCTCATAAATAGACTACTATAGTTCATTATTACATAAGTTATATGGTATAAAGGGATTAATTTAAATGAAGGTTATCTTTATCTTACCTACTAATATGAAGTCTTCCTTTAAAACTAAACAACCATAACAACAACTCAATGGAATAATAAGAATTGTGAAAAATAAGATCAAAAAAGGTAGTCGAGTTTAGAACGAGAAAAAATATGTATATATATAACAATAATAGATCACCTTATTCCTATATAATAAAATAAACGAGGATGACAGGGTGGTGGGATGAGGGTAAGGACTAAAAGCATGTCACAAAAAAAAAAATAAATAAATAAACTATCCTGTATGCAATCATAAACTAGGACAATCTACTACAATACAGTACAGTATTAAAAATAATTTCGTCTTTAATTTTTTTCTTTTTCTTCGTCTTCTTCTTCTTCTTCAAAATGGAACGTATTTGAATAAACGTGTTTACAGAAATGAATAAAGAAATACTGAAAATACAATAATAATATTGATGTTATAACTAAAAGTAAGGTAATAAAAAAAAACCGAGAATATATTGAAGCTAAGTATGCTTCTTTGAACTTAGAATAAAGATGGAACCCTATTTTTAAAAGTAAAAAAAAAAAGACAAACAAAACTACAAGGCGAAAATATTTCAAGGTAAACAAGTTTTTATTTCTTTAGATAAACAAAATGCACACATTAATAGAAAGAGAGATAGAGAGAGAGAGATACATGTCCATCTAAATAATAAAGTAGTTCGTCAATACAATGAATCATAATTGAAAACCGATTCAATTTTGGTAATGTATATGTTTATTGTGTAGATAAACAAACACCGGATTAGAGTTATTAGATATGCTGCAGAATCCCTATATAGGCAACAACGAATCATCACTAACTAAGGTATAGATGAGAGAAAATAAAAAATTGATGATATATGACAAATTGTCTATTCTCTACTCAAAAAAAAAAGTTTACAAAACACAAAAAAATGAGATCTTAGATAATCCCATTGATTCGAAGAAGAAGAAGAAGGAAAAAAAGGTCATGAAGAACAGTTAATACGGTAATAAGTAGTGGTATATATTGACTGTAATAGTAATAGTAGTAGTAGTAGCAGTAACAAAATGTAAACCACATTTTACCACTTAAATTAATATATATATATGAGTATGGATATCAAAAATATCATTATTTTTTTGAGACAACATACATACATACATATACTTCAACAGGAGAGGAGTGGTGGCGGTGGTGGTAGTGATTATGGAACAAATGAAGTGCAAGGTTGACAAGTGTTAAAAGGTTATTCAATAAACTTATTTATGAATGATAGATGACGTTTAATACATACATACAAAAAACAAAAACAAAACATTAATGGTTACCTATCAAAAAAAAAAAACTTGAATAAGACGAATGTAACATTCTTAAACAAAAAGAATAATATATAGAAATAATAACTGTAGAAAACAAAAACTATTGAAACCACAGCCATACTTTTAGATTTGTTCAACAAAAAAAAAACTCGAAAGTTTCTTTTTTTTTCTTTTTAAACCAGTCTGTTACTGACAAAAAAAACTGAGAGTAATATTTTAGAAAAGTACACACAAATACAACCACACTTAATAGAGCTGCTGCTGAGTAGGAGGAAGATGGATTCCTATATATATATATAAACAACCCTTAACATATGGATTAGTTGGACAGATCTAATGTAAAATGTAATATCGAAATACAAATACATTCGGAATTATGAAACTTTATGAGCGAACAAATGATTGACTCGAATGACAACGATGATGATGAGGAGGAGGAGTAAGAAGAGGAGGAGAATATTAATGTAGACGACGTTTTCTTTTCTTTTTAAAAAAAACAAGTGATGATTCAAGATGATTATTTCCATATAAAAAAGCCCGGCGCTGTTCAAAAATTAATTAATAAATGCTCCATAATAATATGAAATGTGAGTTTTACTTTTCGACGTGCGTGCGTGCATGCTTGCGAGCGCGCGCACGCACGCGCACGCGCATAGAAAACTCTTCACAACATACAAATAAAATGCATTACGTAAAAAATTGTAAAAGAACCGGTGGGAAAAATGGTTGTATCTTGGTAGAAAATTAAAAAAAAAGGTAAACACAATTAACAAAATGAGATATCCTATGATACATGATTCACTGCTTCTTTCTACTTATTAGTAAAGTGGCAGTAGTATTCAATGTTATTATATTACCAGAGAAAAATAGGTAAAAATAAGACAATGGAATTCGTGTGATTAGAATGCACATCGAGATTTTTTTTATATAGAGAAAAAGAGAAGAAGGAAACATAGAAGCAACAAACATTCGATTATGTGGAAGTAGTAACAGTAATCTTTCGTTGATTTTACACAAAATGCTTTCTACATATTGTTTTGCCTTATATAAACACTGCGAATACAGTCGGCATAGGTCGACAAGAAAATTTCTTTCTTAACATATAAAAGTTTACAACAACAACAAAAAAAAGGTTTTTAGTTAAACACTGGAATTTACCGGTTTGATTTCTCATTTTTACATATAATATATATCCATAGACATCAGTATTACTCTATTGATTCATCGGATCTTGTTGATAGTTGTATTTTTTACGAGATACACAAAAATAATTAAATCCCATATAAATATTCCACCGTAGGTTTTATAATTACTCACTAAACACGATGCGTAGTATCTGAATTTTTATGAGTAAGACTCATAGATGTATTTGTTCCGACTGCCGATACACATCCAGCGGTGGTACCACCGCCCCCACCTTGCATAATTTCTAATAGTTGATCTAATGTGGCACGTCTACGCAGACCAGCCGCCCGTAATTCATCAGCTAAATGTGTAACCATATCGGTCAAGCGTAAATGAATAGTCTCTTCATTCAGTAAACGCTGGACAACACCAGCCAACTCACTACCAGGTGGTAATCGATCGGATATAGAACTGTATGACTGTTGTTGTGGCTGGTGTTGATGATGAGAATGACTAGTATTATTATAGTTATTAAGATGACTAGTCGTATTGCCATTTAGTAAACCTGCTTCAGATGCCAATAAATTCAGATATTGTGAAGTATCCATACCGTTTAAACCATTCAACAAATTAGAAGCTAAACTGGCAACATGCAATGAATTATTAGAGTTGTTGTTATTATTGTCTGTATTAAAATCATTACCATTTGTGATTATGCTCTTATTGACATTATTAATACCATTATTATTTGAATTAGTAGTATGCTGTGTGAGTGCAGCATTACCACCATTTGTGGTATTTGGATTATTAGTAGAGTGCAAAACATTTTTTAAAGAGGCAGTGAGAGCAAAGAATTGTTCACGTTGTTGTATACTATCCAAAGGTATAGAATCATCTTGTAGTTGTGTTTGTTGTTGACGTAGTAAATCGTTGAATAACTGTGACTGAACTAGAAGAGCAGCTGCTGCGGGATTAAAAATGAATGGAAATCCAGAATTAGCATGTTGTGAAATTGTTGTATTATTGTCATGATTTGTTGAATTAGGCGTAGATGATACATGGTGTTTTTTATCATTGTCTGAACAACGTGAATTACTGGTGAACAATGCAGTACCAGGTACGGAAGTAGTGGGAGTATTAGTTGTTGTATCATAATTGGATTGTTCAGTTTTGTATTTTGTACCATTTAATGAATGAAAATTCGGTGTTAAGGAATGTGGTGTACGCGTTCTAGATAGACCAAAGTATAATGGTGAATCTGGAGCGTGTAATGATGAGGATAATGTGAGTCTGGCTGATGACAAACTACCAGGACCACCTGGTGTATTCGGTGTGGATTTACTTGTACTGATACGATCACCGGTTACTTGCATAGTTGTAGCATCGATATTTGGATAGATTACTAAAATTAAACGAGCCACACGTCGTAGAATATCAGCGTTACGAACAGCTTTTTGTGGATTATTCACCAATAAACGAACATCACGACGTAAATTTTTCCATTTATTATAACAATGTTCCATGGTAAAACCTAATGATTCCATTTCTGTGCCAATAATTTGCCAAACTTGTTTATGCTTTTTCTGTATATTAAATTCATCCAAATGTTTTTCTACACAATCTAACAATGTTTGAACATTTTGATTCGACCAATGTACTTTCTTTTCAGTTGAATCTGTTGGATGACGTGGGCTATCAACATTTAACATGAATCCACGTGTTGTTCCACCGATATCGTCGTCTTCATCTTCCGGTGGTAACATTGTCACATCGAGTTGTTCGTCAACATCATCATCACAATGGTTGATTGTATTATTATTGCGATTATTATCATTATTAATGTTGTTATTGTTGTTTACATGTTGACGGAGAGAAGAATATTTTAATGGCTCCAAATCCATTGGATCTTCATCATCATCTTCTACATCCTCTGGAAAACTTGGACTGGACTTCTCTGGACTTTTTGAGGTATAATTCATCACATGATCCATCATCTATAATGTGTCAATTAAAAAGTAGTAATTAATGTGTCTGGTATTTTGAAATAGAGTCAATAATGTATATTTTGGCGTATTGTGTTATGATAAAAAGTTGCTTGACTTCACAATCACCAGACTTTGGAGCGTTTAATTTGGAAGGGTTAGAACGCACAGATGATAGTCTTGTATGATGGCTGACGAAACAGTTCTCCAAACACCTTGAGTAGCAACGCAAACATGGTGAATACGTATTTCACACTCATTGAATGAAAATTTTTGTCTTAGAACTAGTCTGTATCAACATCTAGGATGACCCTAAGGGGCAAGGTAATTGGGCACGTTAGTCATTTTATATATCAATTAAGTTTCATCATCTATGATGGGCTGGGATTCATGATTGATAAGGTCTTATAATGGACTCAAAAAACATCTTTGGTTTTAGCTAACTCGCATTACTTGTAGCGACAATAAAATACCTGTCTACAAACCTGGGAGTAAGGATGCTATCCAACAGATTACTGTGGCTGTGAAACATGGCTTATGAAAATAAGAAACATAAAGACTGGAAGTAGGTGTCTCTGAAGTATTAATCGCGTATTATGGAACAGCAGAGTGAGCACTGTCGAAGTTAGGGATAGAGTAATAGGCAAGTTTGTTGATGAGGTGTTTATCGACTAAGGTAGTTAGGACAAGTTAGATATGCTCAACCCCGTGTACTTTGATCCATAATGGTGGGTGAAATGGTCATGCATGAAAAAACTAAGTGTGGTCGAAACGAGATGTGGCGTAAGTTTAGGAAGTTAACTATGATCGGATATTTGGTGCCCCCCTGTACCAATATTTATGTGTTCAAATAAATAAATAATGATCGGAGATAACTTAGAATCTATTACAGTGAACATGTGTTCAAACTATATTTCCCAAAATGTTGAGCTCTTTTATTACTGCATGCTTCATATTCCTCAGGTTCGTTGTTTCCTATTCAGGTGCGTTTGTGAAGTTTACGATCTTTCTTGGCACAATCGGAGATATCGTGATTGCCCGTAATATGGATTGAAAAGAATGAGCATTATTCAGATGTCGATTTCTAAAATGCTAACATCTAAGTGGCAACTACTCGATATTTATCGTCAATATCGATCAAAAAAGAGACGGAAACTCGCTGAAATACTTTGTGTTGAGAATTCCACATAGTAACAAAAATATAATATTGAATAAAGCCAATAATAATCAGCAAGACTTAATGCCCAAGTACATATCTGAGTGCCAATATTTAGGCCACACATACTGAGTAAATATTTAAGATACTACCCGATTCAGTCAGTCAGTAACAACGTGGAACTTCGTACGTACGTACATCAGTTCGAGTTGCCATACCACATTAGCACAGAGATTCAGTTATCGATTCAATTCCCATAGTGGTAGAGGTACTGAAAGTATAAGTAGGGATAGGGGACATTAAGGTTTGATGATGTTATTAACGGAGTATAGTCCAGTGGAATAAATTGGGAAAGAAAATAAAGGACATGGAGAATTCAGAAGATTAGAGTTTGAGAGAGCACAAAGAGTGGATGCATCTGCGCCATTGCAAACGATTTTGAGCCATGTCATTCAAGATGTCTAACCATCGGTTGCTATCGTCTCGCGGTCCCCAACCAGGTAGTCTACACCTACCAACATGACTACCCGAATAACCACACCGAATTAGGTAGCCGTCTTTCTAAGAAACAATAGACTTAGCTTATGTTTAGATATAATAAAGTTGATAATTTCTTAGTAAGTCCTCGTTATCCAATCTTTGAACTTGCAGGACATGATTAAGAGTAAAATCAAATCAGTGCTGTACAGGTGTTGAAAATGTTTTAGAGCAGTTTATATGTTTCTTTTACTAATTGTACAAGCTCGGGACAATGAGAATCTATGGCTTTGGCGAACATCTTGGGTGTTAGGGTCTTAGAGTTAAATTACTTGATTATTCATATTTATTCGGGGTCTTAAACACTAGGACTAATTCCTAAAACAGAGAAACAGTAGAATTCAAGTGTTAAAGTGGGTAGCAACTAAAGATCATAAATGTGAATCACGCATTTATATCAGTGATCAATAATTTCGACTGAGTTTTCATTCTAACGAGCGATTACGCCTAGATTTATCGTTATAACTGATTTTTAATTCCATTCGTTTAACCCGATCATGAGCATTATTTCTAAGGGTTGATTGAAAGTAGAGACAACGCAACTGTCGAGTATACCAGGTCATAATATTAGGCAAATCTTAAGTAACCGTGTCGAGGTTTTGTCGGCAAAACATACAGTAGAAATGATATAGTACCTTACATGCACATGTATATATAACTGAACGTAACTTTCTATTCTCGAAAAAGGTGGTTGGGACTCTACTTGAAGAACCACCTTTAATTTAGACAATGTAGTGCATATGCAGAACTTCTTAAGACTCGTGTTTACGTAAACTTGCATCATTTTTAAGTTTTGTAGTACCTTTAACTCCAGCTTTTGTCACAATAACGAGGCCCAGAAACCAACCGTGCATGATACACATATGAAAGATTACGAATTGTTTCATTCTTACGTCAGCATAAGCATTTTTATGCTATAAGCAGCACATGCCTAAGTTTAGGCTGAAATGAATAATTCTAACTTGGCATGTTTCGGTCTTCCTTACATTCTAAGTGATCCTGACTACGGTATGGTTATGGAAATTAAGGGGTATTGCCGGGATAAACAACACCGTAAGGCAATTGTGAGCTATTCATATTTGGAATATCAGCCACATACTCTGGAATTCAACTAGCTACTACCTTCAAAGGACTGTTCATTCACTTAAAGCGAAGTCCTTGTGATGAATGACATGCATGGACAGGTATTTAACCAAGGACTTAATTGAAGAAATGACAGAATTAGTAACTATACATAAGGCAAAAACTAAAGAAAGAACCGGATGTCCCACAACCGTTCTCTAGTCTATTTGGAGGTACTCCATTTGATAAAGATATGAAAAGCCTTGAAAAGACATGAACGACTAGTAACACTGCAATCACTACAAGCCACTAGAATAATAAAATCTAAAAACTGCTATGGTCCTGTTTAATAAAAATAAAAAATGTACCAAGATCAATAAAGAATATCACGGAAAACCAGTAATAACTTGGGCTGTAATTACCATGAAGACAAGAGTCACGGATGCAAACAGTGCGCGCTTACTGCCGCGAAAAACAAAGGCACATCGGATTCAGATTCAGATGGTAAGGGACAATCAGGTTTTCAATATCCAATGTTGTAGAAATTGTAGTAGCAGAAAACATTGTCACTTTTTAGGAATCCCAATAAAACATCGTACTTTTTCCACGATCACGCATATGAAAATACTCTTGTATTCGTCGTTTTATACAGTAGCAGGCTTACATGTTCGTACACATAGTGACTTCTCTGTCTTCTGCCTCCTTTTGAGTTAGCCATGACATGGATTGTATATTTCAATCAATTCTTTACTTCTGAACGACATATTTGTAAATGCTGTCTCATGACAAATAGTCTGGAGCAGTTCCATCGCCATGTTTTTTCTAAGAGGCGACACTCCATGCGATAATGTTTCTTACTCAACTATTATTGCTATGTCTTTTATTTATATATTCACTGTTTTTATGACCAAAACACTCTTTAGCGTGCGATAACATGCGCTTACGTATGAGCTTTCAGCTCCTTTCCTTTAATTGAGAAGCTAAGAAACCCTGCAAGGCTAAATGAACTGCCTGAACAACTTCTGTTGGTAAGGGCAGGAGATTGAATGAATTTTTAACTTTTATTGGTACAACTCACCCATTTTCCGTTATACCTGTTGGCGGGATATGCATATATATTAGATCAAAGCATATTCCTTGCAGGATCATCTTGAAGTAGTGTGATTGGCTTTAGAATCTACAATAAAATAATGGATGTGCTAAGGTTCTTCGTATTTTCGGATCTGTCCAAGCAATATCATGCACATGATATGTAGCTCATTACTAATTCTAACAGTAGCTGCTAAAATTAATTTTTTTACATTAACATATAAATAATTCAACACAATCAGGGTGTATTCAATGGAAACAAACGAATTTAATCTAATATTGACAATTAATTAAACTTACTTGATTTAACATTCATAATCGGATGATGCAGTTACCGGGCTTTTTCAAACAGTGTGGATGTGCCACAAGAAACGAGGACGATAATGATGAGAAGTAACCTTTTACGTTATCGTAGCTAAAGGCTTTCAGACATTCTGCTGTCGGCCATCGGTTTAACCAGAATCATAAACTCCTTCAATTTCTCCATTTTCGAAATCAATAAAGCGTCTTGGTTGGTCTAGTGACATTAGACAATATCCTAATCTGATACTGTTGCTGAAAGTGGTCAATAAACGTATAGAGGTTTGTTAACCAACCAATGTTGGCTAACGCGGAATCAACACTTGTAACAGTCTAGTCTCGCAATGTAAATATTCTATATTGTCTCCATTGTTTTTCATATCCAGATGTGTTTATGTAGTATTTGTACTAACTGATGATTCCTTTGAACTTGATTACCTGCTGATTACGAATAACAAATATGACATGTCCAGTTGTGTTCGTCTGGTTCTACTGAAGTGGCACTGAACCTTAAACACGACCTGTGAAACCAGCTTATAATTATTGGAACAATTTGTATCCAACAATTGGCATGAAGAGAAGTTTAACAATTTTTGAACACGGGAAGGATTAATTAAATAAATCGGATGGAATCGCTCAGCCTCACAGACATGGTCATTTTGTATAACTTGTTCTTATTCGCGTTAAATATATTATTCTACCTTCAGCCTAAATTCGATCTTTACATCATATTGTTATGATACGACAAGCCAGTGTGGACAATGATGTGAGTTTCACGTAAGATCTCATAGATTAGGAAGTCACATGACAAATCTACAATTTTAGGATTAGGTCTATTATTAGAGCAGTACTAAAAACGAAGTTGACCATAATTCTACACTGCCTGCCCTTTATCGTGCTATTTAATGAATTATTAAATAGCACATTAATTTTAATGCTTCTAGTTATTATATTGACGCCATTATGGAGCTTGTGTTTGGAAAGTTGGATAAACGTTAAATATCTGAAGCTTTCGAAGATTAGATGGAAGGGTTTCAAATGTGGAGTACTACCAGAAAAATGTTTAGAATGATAACGTCGTGGCTCGTTTCCACATATTTATCAAGAAAAGAGCCCACAACCTAAATAAAGATTTGTTATTTCCAGATAAGCCCATTTCTGTTCTTTCATAACTTCCAATGAATTACTACTAAATCATGTCAAGTGTACGAATTTTGAATGCCGTGAAAGTGCGAAATTTCATCTAGTGATTCATCAGAAAAACCGGAAGGTTATAGAGTTTGTCCTCGAATTGGAGTAGGGAACTGTCAAGTATAGTTTTGGTGATCAACTTCATATGTTGCTGCGTGATCGATTAGTTGCAGGAATTAACATACTAAATCTGGAAGAGAGTTCATATGAGTACCGAAGTGATCCTTCCAAGATGCTAGAAGTGCATGTATTGATTATGTTATCGCTGTTCTCTTACATAAGTTGATTAGGGAACATGGAGATAGCTAAGAAAATGTCATGCTGAATTAGGACTACTGTCGACGTTTTGGGATAAAATTTTTGCATCAAATGAACCGGTCGATCAAGAAAATTTTCTCAACCAACTAGATACTAGGATGGGTTCCAAAGATTTACCGTCGCACAGATGCTAACGTTTGCGTTCAGTTTACACAATATACAGATTTCAGATAATGAGGTCAAATGGTGAACGTGTGACAGAATACCTAAGACAGGTCATCTTTTAAAGAAGAAAAGTAGACACTTCGGACCAAACCCCGTGCATAAATTTGTACAGTTTTAGTTTCATGTTTCGTGTCTTTTGGGTTTCTAACACACGGATTTGTGGAATGTAAATTTTGTTAATGGGAAAATAGTAAAACACTCATAGCCAAAACGAACTTCAAACTCATTTTTTAAATAAGCGTAACAGAGTGAATTCTCTGAAAGTCCCTTCAAAGTGTTATCTTAAGAGAAACTGGTAATCTTTATTGAACTTTTACCCCATTTTCTTGTAAATGTTAATTCTATCGATACATATAAAACTAACCATTACCATCTATTATTTACAGTTATCAATCAAACATTTATGCTATAAATGAAGGATTGAAACGTTTTCCTAGAATCAAGATGATGAGGGAATTATCGTAGATCAAAACTCGCTTTGATGTTCTCTGACTATATTTACAATAAAGGTTAACCAAGCGTTATTGACTCATTGGATTTAGAGCTAACCTTGGTCAATATGATAGCCGTGTTGTTTATTAAGGAGATTGTGTACCATTTTAAAAAGTTTCAAAATATCGGTCAAACGAATGATATCAAAACAATTAGGGTGAAAGTACCATCTAGATATATGAACCTGTAGCGTGGTGTCGAGTTGAGCTTGACTATGAACACCGCTACAAGACTACGTGCCAATTAACCAATAAGATCCCCGTAGGCCAAAAATCAGAAGACAGATGATGGCTGTAGTCGAGATGTATTTGTTGGCGATCTCGTGGTATCGAAAGAATACCGAGATCGTGCCAAAGGAGTACAAGTGTGGTTACTGAGCGTAACCGGATTCGTACAAGTTCAAAGTCAACGGGAGAGTAAGTATAATGGCTGTCATCAGCACAGTTAAATAAACGAGCACAGTAAAACAGTCACTGGTACAATTGGTTATAATAATAATTGTTTTCATTGAACCAATCGCGTTCTGTTGACAAAAGTAGGTCACTACAGGAGCTCCCCGCTAGAAAGGGCTTACACTTTCGATAGTTAGCGGTTTGATTCGTGGGACTGATCGGCAGAAGTGCGGTTGTAGGACGGAGGAAATTGGCGGAACAGGAAGTGATGATTGATCCTCGAGTTGCCAACGGAAGTCTTTTGCGCAGAACGGTACCAGGAGAAGTGTGCTGTATTTGTTGGTCGAGTTAGCATACCACACCAGAGTGGTTTGTATCCAGAATCTGATGATTGCGTTCGTAGGGATGTGAACCAGAAAACGCTGCAGACGTAGGACGAAACCACGTTGAGCCAAGAAACCCGACGCGATCATAACGACCAAGCGTATGCCAGGTGAATTCGAGACCAGATAATCGACTAAGTGCGTTGACTAGAGCATGGGTGGCCAAACCAGCTTTTGCCAAAGTTGACTGAAGTCGAGGTCATCAAACGGACGATGGTCGGAGGCGTGGGCTCAGGATACAAAAAAAATAAAAAAAAAGAAAAGTGTAGCATGCGTGTCGTATAGGAATAATCCTACACCGTATCCGTTATTGACTGTGCGGTTAGTCGCGAAAGCGTACGGGTAATCGTACTCGGCGACCGGAACGTGAGACGGTAGTCTCGTTCGTGCTTCGTGAGCCTGCGATCTCATCCGAGGTCAAGGGCGTCGTGGTCTGCTGATCTGGACGTGAGACGGAAGCCTCGTCCTTAGATGGTGCAGATGACGCGTGCTGTTGATCAGGACGATAGTACGAGGTCTCTGATGTATCTAGCGTGGGATCCGAGGTAGACGTAGAGATCCCGCTAGAAGGTTTAATATGTCTAGCATTGAGTCTCAAGTTATCGGGTAGGGCACTGTCATCGACGTGTGCTGGTTTGAGACGATCAATGCTGACGATCTCGACGCGGCCGTGTCGATCAACCTTGAAGGTCTTTTCGTGACGAGAGATCACGTGAAAAGGGCCTTCGTAAGGCTGTTGTAGAGGTTTGCGTACCGAATCTACTCGTATGAAAACATGTGAACAGGTAGATAACTCTCGAGGGAGAGCGACCTGTCGATGTTGTATTCGAGTTGACACCGGAGACAGCGTTCGCATAAATGCAGACAGTCGATGGACGTAGTCTGATTTACCGAAATCATTACTGCTCCGTGGTGTGAAGAATTCCCCAGGCAGACGCAATGTCGTGCCGTATACAGGTTCAGCGGTGGAACATTGAATATCTGCCTTCAAACTCGTTCTGATGCCTAAGAGAACGAGCGGTAAGGTTTCGTACCAATTGTCGTTTTCGTGTGCTCGGAGAGCACTTTTAAGTTGGCGATGAAACCTTTCGACTAAACCATTCGATGCTGGATGGTAGGCGGTAGTGCGTATGCGTTCCGTACCAA